AACTATTATTTTAACTATTGCGAAAATTGCAAAATGGTAGAGGACTTTTCGACTCAGTTTAGTCCGCTCTATCTACACAAAAATGATTAGCAAAAAAGGTCCGGACACCCTGTATATGTATATATATATATACAATTAATGTAAAAAATATTAATTTCCAATAAAAACGATATATGTTTTTACCTAAATAGAACAAATATTAAATTGTAAATACCATTATTTTTAAGTACTGAAATATTTGCGTGCGTCTACATTCAATATTTTGACATTTATCTTAATTGAAATTAAAACTCAAATAACTGTTAAGTTTATGTACTCAATTTTGAAGACACTCAAAGGTTTAGGGTTTACGCTCATTTATTGCATGTTATACCCAAGTGTTGAGGGTAACCTTTAGATGTTTAGTGTGTAAACTCAAACTTGAGTGTGAACGCTCAATCTTTGAGTGTATATACTCAATGTTTGAGTGTAAACACTCACAATTTAAATGTAAACACACAAATTTCAGAGTAAACTCCCAAAATTTGGGATTTATACTCAAATTTGAATATAAACACTGAAATTTTCAGAGTTTTTTTCGTAAGGGGAGCGACACCTTTTTTTGCCAGATTCTTTCATTTCATGCAAAAACGCATCGAATAAGCCTATTTTTATTGATTTTTGAGGTGAAATAGCTAAACTGAATAATTATCAAAAATGTAAATATTAAATTGTAATATATAAATATTAATAAAAAGATTGGAAATAAGACCATTTATTATGGCTGCTTTCCTTTTAGATAGAGGACATACTCGACACAAACGTCGTTCTATCTTTCTTGGCATTCAATGAATGACAAAGTAGAACGATACTTGTGTCGACTGTGTCGCTCAAAAGGAAAGCAGCCATGTGAGTACGTCACCTAAATACGACAAGCGCCACTAGACGATCAAATTTCAAATGAATTGTGTTGAAAGTGTGATAGTAACGACGATCATATATTTCTGAGATGAATTCATCCAGTAGCGTTTCTCGTATACTTAGGTTTATTTTTTAAAGAGATGTATATAATAAAAATTACCTTAGATTTATGTCTCCAATTGTCTTGAGCTGATTCTTAAGCTGATGAGGCTGTTTTTTCGTTTGATAGCTGAAAAAATATTTATAAATATTTAATATTCATTATTCATAATATATTACTTCTAATATTCAATTTTTTTTTAACATGCAACAATTACCATCTCTCTTTCCCAAATTACTTATCATAAAAATTATTATAATATACTCATTATAATATTCAATGTTTTTATTTTTAGACCGTATATATAAGAAACACAATCAATACTAGAAATTTAAAAATTCCTATTACGGTCGAAGCTGGTTCTTCGTTGCTTAAATAATTTAATCTTGATGTACATGAGCTCCTGCCCGATTACCTCTGTTTCTTTTTCCGATTGTGCTGTGCGATTTTGCAGGTTCAGGAAAAAACTATAAAAATTATTAATTATGAATATAATGATGGCAATTTTCTTAAAGCAGTAAAAATTATAGTAGCAATTTAAACATCGACTGACTTTCAGTCGTCTTCAGCGAACGAATACGACAATAATAAAGTAAAAAATTCTAACGTTTACAAAAATAGAATGACCTCACGAATGCACTTTATTACATGAAAATGATAAAAAATATTTTATTCGAAGTATTGCCTATCGCTAGCTATACATTTTTCCCACCTGTGGCAATCTGACAATTTGTGGATGCGACGCCAAAAAAATTGTTGCTCTTTTGAGCCAAACCAGTCATCTAGCCATTTTCGTACATCTTCGTAAGAAGTGAAGCGCTGCTGAGCAAGTGCGTGTCCCATCGACGCAAATAAGTAGAAATCGGACGGAGCCAAGTCTGGTGAGTAAGCCGCATGCGAAAGTATTTCCCAACCAAACGCCTCAATCGTTTTCTTGATCAGTTTTGCTGTGTGTGATGGTGCATTATCATGAAGCAAAATCACTTTGTGTTGCCTTTTATGATATTCCGATCGTTTTTCACGCAAAGCTTGGTTCAAATTTCATTTGTTGTCGGTAGCGTTCAGTATTAACGGTTTCGCCAGGTTTTAGCAGCTCTTAAGCCGGTTCTACATAAAGGCCCGTCTACAATACACGGAGTAAGAAGTAAGAGTAAGAAATTGACCAATCACAGTCGAATGTGTTGCAAGCAGCTAATCGCATAATCGTAAGGAGTATCTATTTCCGGTCGTAATGTGTCGCAAGCAGCAATCGCAAGGTTTGGTTGAAACCAAAACTTGTGACTCTGCGATTTTGCGACAACCAATAAGCATCGAGCTCCCCTCTATTTGGCTTGTTCGTTCGTTTCAATTATTTCGATAACCTATCTTTGATAATAAGTGCTAAAAAATAAGTTTGATATAGGTTAAAAATTTTATTATAATAATGAGTGATTTCGAATATAATGATGAAGAGGATTTTCTGGACGCAAGCGTCCAGAATGATGAAAATGACGAAAATGATGATGTGGATGAAGTAGATCGAGAAATAATAAGACTCGTAAAAGTTAACCCAGGGCTGTGGGACAAGAAGTCCAAAACATATAGTAATGTTGTACAAAGAGATATGGCCTGGGAATCTATAGCATCACTTTTGTCAGTTCAAATGACAGGTAAAAATGAAAACTTCATAATTTAATATATAAATTTCAGTTGTTGATTTTGTTGAAATGTAAACTGTTAATTGTTTAGGATCTGAAGCAGCAAAAAGATTTCGCACACTGCGAACAATATTTGGTCGCCACTTTAAAAAAGTAAGGCTGTCTCAACCTAGATCTGGTGCTGGATCAAACTGGCCCGTTTATCAGCCGTCTTGGCCGCTTTATGAAGAATTGCTTTTTTTGGCTGACGTTATAAAACCACGCACGTAAATATACTTAAGTTATATTAATTTAGAAATTAATTCTGATAATTTCCTTAAATTAATTATTACAAATTCTTTTTATTTGCAGTACAAAATCAAACATATCTGTTAAGTCAGTAAGTATATTGAAGTCAAGAGGTAACAACCATAACAGGCAACAACGTAATGCAGCTATCGGATTTAACAAAAGTTGGTCACAACCTGGCTCTAGCTCAAGTTCAGCACATACCAGCTCTAGCGCACGTAGTTCAATATCACAATTGCACTCCAGTCCAACCTGTAGCACTCAGCTGCAACAAAATGATACATTCAATGACATGAATGAAGAATGTGATTTGCAAGAATCGAATCAAATAAAAAACATCTTATCTGGCAAAGTTACAGGTATTGAATAACTGCATGTATATTAAATTACTGTTTGCCAATTTGTAATATAAAATAATTTATGAAATGTTGGATTTTAGAGAACGACAAGAAATCAAGTACAGACTGCAGTTCTATCTCCACCTACAAACATTTCAGAAAGAGACACATCATTCAGACACCATCTCCAGATGATTTCTATCAAAAAAAGAAAATTAAAAATGATGATGACACAAACAATTTAAATAAACTGGCAGGAGCATTAGTTACTATCAGTGCAGATGGTTACTCAACCATCCGTTGGAAGTGCTCAGCAAGAAGAGAGAGCATCCAATATAGTTCCAGAGGTAGAAAGTTTCGTGCAAATTATCAATTCAATGTTTCAACAAGTCTGTACACAATAAAAGATACACTGCTTTATCGAAATATTAAATATTTTAAACAATTACCAAAATAAAAATTAAGTTTTATTTTATTATTTTAAATTACAGCCAACTTCAGTTTTACAGAGTCGAGTGTAAACACCATATATCATTTTTCCAGAAACGGATATTATAAGATTTTCTTGCTTTGTAGTAGGTTTTTGTGTTATACGAATTTATTTTTATTAAGTAAAGGACACGGAGAAGATGATAGATTTGTCCTTTAAATAATTATGAAAGGCATCTTAATGTGGGTTTTCACATGAATTTGTTTAACGAGATCAGACAAACTGATCATGACACATTTTTATGTATACGTGTATGTGGCTACATATGTTTAATGACCTTTTAATTTGAGTTCGTCCGTTTCTGGAAAAAAGTGGCCCGCGGCGTTCACACTCTGTACAACTAAAGTCGGCTAACTTTATCGTAAGTACAGTTTTTGGACACTATCTTTAGACAATTTCTTTTGGAAAGATTAAGTTTTATTTTAGTGTCTTTTATTTGATCTCAACATTGTTATTATTTGTTTTCTTCTAATTTTGATCAGTGTTGAGTTTATAAATGCAATTATGTATTTTTAAATTTTATCATTTAAAAAGAAGTATTGAATTTATGTTGTGTTTATATACACTGTTTATATGTATACAAAGTCTATATAAAGTTATCTTCTTTAAGTTTAATTAATTTATATAGATCTTAAATGTCTTATTCGTCAATACATTGCATATCTTTCTTGTAACAAAACTTTTTTAATAACATTACAAAACTACATGTTTACATTTACTTTATATAGGCACTTTATTAGAAAAAAGCCAACATTTTTTCAAAACAGAATACAAAGTGTAATAGGTCTTATTTAAATAAAAAATAAATCCTTGTGCAAGTTTCAACTTATCTTTATTTATTTTACTTATGCCTAACTTGTCAAATTTATAATTTTAATTCAACTAATGAAAAACAATCATATTTACCTTAAATCTTCCTATCATTCATACAACAATATATATGAAAACGCATTATATTATATAAAATAATAATTATAATATGAAAAATAATTTTTTGTGTTATGCGAACTTATTTTTATTAAATAAAAGGACACAAAAAAGTGGTGGATTTGTCCTTTAAATAATAAATAATGAAAAATAAAAATAAAAACAAATATTCTTGATATTCATGTACAAGTATCAAATAGATAGTTTTGACTCTAGAAAGATTCATAAATTATCTTTCAGTACTATATCTGTTATAGATATTTAAGAATATCTCAGTCTCTTCCAAATAATCTACATCTATATTTACTAATCGCATTTAGAAAATAATTTATATCTACTATCACATTTAGATATATATTCACTCAATGTAGTAAAATAGTCGTAAATCTTATTTAAATAAAAAAAATCCTTTAGCAACTTTTAACTTATTTTTATCTATTTTACTTATGTCTTATTTATCTAATAATTGTAATTTTGTAATTGTAACTCATCTAACAAAAATAGTCATGTTTAATTTAGATCTTAGTCTTGCAATGAAGTTAAAGCTCTTACAACATGGACAATTTGAGTGTGATGATCGTGAAGAAAAACAATCTGTAAATAAAAAAAGAATGATAAAATTATAGTAACATTGCGACATTTTTAAATAATATTATTTTTATCGCCAATTAACCAAGTAATAGATTAAAAACATAAATTGCAAATTTTAATTACACCTATGTATTAATATTGACACTTCTAAAAACATATTCGTATTGCCAGGGGGTTTGTCTGTATCCAACATCTGTTACAAAATATTCGCACAAGACATCTCTTTATGCTTTAGCAGCATTTGAGCCTGAATTACCTCCCATTTTTCGGATATTCTCAAATAATGTTCCTCTTTCTGCTATACCACGCCATACTCCTTCCATTATTTCATAATCTGCATTTTCATGATCGATAAAATTTTGTGGACAATAGCGTCGCCGAGATGTTTCAAATCTTTCCTCCATGATCATAATATAATTATGCAAACAAACTAAAGCTTCTATTACTTCTTCTAAATTAGTTAAAGAGAATTTTAGAGGTTCATTGAGAATTTGCCAGCGTGCACAAAGAATACCAAACATGTTTTCTATACTTAGGCGTGCTCTTGACAATCTATAGTTAAAAATCCTTCTATTTTCAGTTAATTCTTTTTTACTATAAGGTTTTAATATATGCAGATCAAGAGGGAATATTTCATCGCCTACAAATACATGATTGGTTTTTATTGCTGTCCCTGGGAGATACCGAAGACCTGGAATTTCAGCAGTTTTTTCTCGCACTCTGGCTGCCAATTCAGTATTACTCCATACACCGCTGTCGCTGATACCTCCTGTAAAAAATATGAAAAAAGAATCATGGATCAATTTTTTTAAACATTGCAACCATAATTAAATTTCCAATACAAGGAATGTTTATTTACCACATTGCCCAATGTCCACCCACACAAATTTATGATTTGCGTCACATATTGCCAAAAGAACAATGCTGAAGTACTTCTTATAATTAAAAAATTGACTTCCTGAATGAGTTGGAGCTTCAATTCTAATGTGCTTTCCATCAAGAGCTCCCACACAATTAGGAAACTGCCACTTCTCGAAGAAATCTTCAGCAACTTCAGACCATTTCAGTTCATCAGGTTCGGGAAGAACTATTGGTTGAAGTGCCTGCCACAATGCACGACAGACTTCGTGAATAATGGCATATACAGTGGAGCGTCCAATACGAAATTCCCACGCTTTGGAATTTACACTATCACCATGTGCAAGAAACCTATACGAAGTGTGAAAGAAATTTTAGATGCGTAAACATTTAGATACATATAATTATCAATAAATATATAATTATCAATAAATATAATGACATAACTTATCCTAACCTACAAATTCTACTTACGATAAAGTTAGAGCCAACTTCAGTTGTACAGAGTGTGGACGCCATGGACCACTTTTCTCCAAAAACGGACGAACTCGAGTTAAAAGTTCATTAAACATATGTGGCCACATACACGTATACATAAAAAATTGCTCATGATCAGTTTGTCTGATCTCTTTAAACAAATTCATGTGAAAACCCACATTACGATGCTTTTCATAATTATTTAAAGAACGAATCCACCATCTTCTCTTTCGTGTCTTTTTTCTTAATAACGACAATTTCGCGTAACACAATAATCCACTACAAAATAGCAAAAATAGTCGACGATGTTCGGCATCCACTTTGATGTACTGCGACATTAACCTGCAATGTAGACATTCAAATGGCAAGATTCCTGCGACTTCTTATTGCTTGCGACTATGCGATTGGCTGCTTGCAACTAATGTAGAACCGGCTTAATAATAGGCCTTCTACTAAGCCGCAAGTCAGAACGTCAGAAGTCTTAACCAGTCTTAATCAAGTCGTTCAAGTTGGTCAACTTCACCGATTATGACTTAAGATCACTTAGAACTTCTGACTTACGGCAGAGACATGGTATAAGGATAAGGGTATGCTCACGCGCATGCGACCAATCAAAATTGTCGAAGTGTGACGTCACACAACAAGCGATAAATTTAAAACTGCTGTTTCCAACCAACTTATGTTAGCAGCATTCTCGTCAGATATTTTATTTTGATTTAAAGTTTACAGGGAAAAATACGTTTTGAA